TCCCCCAGCCCGCATGCTGGCTGGGGGGATTCTTGGGAGTTGAAGTCCACCCACCTTAAAGGGGCTGAGGTTGGGAAACACTGCTTTGAGGGAAGTTACCACTGGTTGAAAACCAATCCAGAGTGTAGTTTAGCTCTGCTTCTCCCCTTCGTTTCCCTCCACTGTTGTACTGTTCTGATCAGAGAGATTGCACCTCGCTTGGCCTGGTTTCTCCCATGGAGGGCAGCGGGACGGGCATGAAATCCAAAACGGAGGACGTGGACTCAGGAGTAAGCTGCGTGAGCGACGGCAACACTTTAACACAAGCCTTTGAGGCGTTTGCACTAAAGAGCAAGAATTGCGTACCGTCTTGCATACGGAGGCGCTGGCCTCTTGCGCTCGTTCTGCCTTAACCCTTCTTAAATCCTCTTTGTACCAGTGATGATAAAAATAACTGATTGCATGCAGGATTCCCATCCTTCAGTCACATCCTGTATATAGAAGGCATTTGATTTTTTCTTTAATTGTAGCGTGTATGTGTGTGTATACACACACACACAGGTTGTGGTAAAGTGTTGCCAAAGAAACCGTTGATTTTTACCACATTTCAGGAAGAAGCAGCAGTTCACCTTCAAAGTGAGATTGATGATGGAAGTACAAATGTGTTTTCCCTGAATAGGTTAATTTGTGAACCTATTAATTAATGAATTAGCTTGTTAACTTCAGCTAGGTGTTTGAAGCGGTCAGAGTACGTGTGTCTTTTCAGTCATTTGCTTTTGCAGATTTTGGGAGAGCGTGGGACTCCTCCTGTGGCCATTGATTGATTTCCAATAATTAGAATATTTGTTGGGAGGAGAATATTGTGCTGTTTGAAATACACCTGGGAGCTTCTGGGTTGGGGCCAGTGGAACGGATTCCATCGAAAAATAAACAGGAATCCCCCCTCCGCCCCCCAAAAAAGCTGTTGTGCTTGAAACGGGTGCAAGCTTTTGATCTGAAGAAACATTGCAACCTTAGAGTCCCCCAAAGTTTCTTTCTTCCTGTTGTCCCTGACTGAGAAGGACACACGCTCTTGTTGACACCGTTAGCTGTTCTCAGGTCACATCCTCGTTCTGTGTGAATGTAAATTGGAGAGATTATGATGAGAGCTGGAAGGAAGGTGACTTGCCAGTGGTGGTGAATGGGAGAATGGTGGGGCCGCCAAGGTGATCAGATCCCAAATGACAAATTGCACAAGCATTTTGCTGTAAACTATGGCCTCTTCTCATGGGAAGGTGGCTTATCTGTCAGGGGTTGGACTAGGGCCATTTGTAGCATCCCAGAGTGAAAACCTAGGAGCTTTTTGATGGGAAAACCATCTCTTTAACATCCTAACCTTCTGTCATTTCTTACATCATCTCCTCCTCTTCCCACGGGGACTTGAAAAATTCACCTTTGGGTCACCCACGTGGTTGGGCTGAAGCCTCTCCCAAGACCCTTGATTTGTAAGCAGCCTACTTCTGAAACATCGCATCTCTCCGGGAAGGCCAGTGGTAGCGAGGACGCCAG